AATTAATTTTATAGTAAAATAACGAGTTACATGACATTTTTATTATCAAAATGAAAGTTTTGGTATTAAAAATTAAAATTAAGTGATAATTTTGATATTTTTTAAAACTGAAAGACAGTTTTAATATAAATTTAAAAATCAAAGAATCAAATTAATATTTTAACCAAATTTTAATAAAACAGATTAACAATAAGATTAAATTTAGTAGTTTTAAAAAAGTATGAGGCCAATTTTAATCTAAATAAAAAGTTAAGACAGTATCTAATACTATGATAAAAGTTAAGATTAAATCCGATATTTAACTGTCGGCATGGGTGTTAATTTTTAAAAATATCAAAAAATTTTTGTAGAAAAAAAAAAAAAAAAAAACCCAAGAATTTGAGCCAAAGTTTCGGGGACTTCGGTCCGGTAATTCAGTAGTTCAATACGAACGTTCGGTTTGACCCTTATCTAACTCGGTTCGGTTTATTATTATTATATTTTTGGACGTATGATAGGTCGGCTTGATAGTGGTAAACCTTTTTTTTGGGCCGTCAGTCTCGGAGCAATGAAGTTCACTACAGTACTACATCTAGAATTATCTAAAAACTAACATTTCTTAACTCATTTTGTGGATTGTTAAAATGTATTTGAATTTTAAAAAAAATAATGATTAAAAATTTATTGTTAGAAGTAATAATAAATTATTTAAATAATATGTTATGCTTTTAATAAGTTGCATTGAATAATAACAATATCATCAAACAATTTATAAGTTGTCTATTTGATCTCTAAATAAATTTTTTGTTTGCTTTGATGTTGTAATAAAATAAGAAAGAAAAAGAGACAAAAAAATGAAACCTTACACACCATGAAAGGAGGCTATATAAAATTCTAAATCCTATTATTAAAACCATATTTTCTGACAGTCAAGTGAAAATTGGTGGTATTATGAGAATGCCAAAACTAGCTATCTACAAAAAGAAAAAAAAAGAAAAAAAAAAAAAAAAAAAAAAAAAACTGAACTTTTTCTGTTGGGGCCCAAACAGCCTGAGCCCAACATATGGATCCATTTAAAAACACTTAAAAATGGAAACGATAGAATGCTCTAGACGGTAGCAGGAGGAAATGGAGGGGAAGATGGAGCTGCGGAGGACGAAACCAATAGCTGTTTTCATGGCTTTCGGCACCAAAGGCGACGTCTACCCTATTGCTGTACAGTTCCTCCATCTTCTTTTTTTTCTTCCCTTCAAATTTTGTATCGAAAAATTTCGAAGTATTCTAGTCCATCTATAATTTCCTTTTTCTTTTCTGGGTGTGTCTACAATTTATGAAATTGATTCAAGTTTGCAACTTTAGTTTCAACTCCATTCTTGGTCTTTGGATTGCAGGCCATTGCTGCAGCTTTCGCTACTGACCAGAAGCAATACGATGTCGTATTTCTATCCCATTTAGCACATGAGGTGCTCTATCATTCTCTCATGTATTCAATTTGCTTGATCACTCCAAAGTAGTTTGAAACATTGCAACTATTAATGCTTGTGTGTGTGTGTGTATATATATATATATATAAGCAATTTTTATGGTAACCCATTTTCTTTTATGTGGAAAATTTCTCGAAAAAAGTGATTTCTTTTGTTGGTTTTCTTGCAGAACTTAAGTTCTCATTTGGCCCAAAAAGGCATAGCATATTTTCCAATATCATCACCCCCTGTTCTTTCAAGTCAAGAGAATTGTGATAAAGGAGATTCGAGTATGTTTCTCTGATCTCCATATTGCCTTTAATAGGCATCAATGCTATTGTGGATTAGTTTATTGCAAGTAACAACCTAATCAAACTTAATTTAAACTTATAAGTTATAGTGGTTTCATGTTGTCTTGACAGGCTCACAGGAGGGAGATTTTGTGCTGAAAAAAATGATTGTTAGCAGAGAACATAGACAGGAATGCTACTCTGCAATTGAAAGGATATTTGGAAATGGCCCAAGCTTGGAGGGCGATTTTATTCTGATAAATTTCTTTGCTTTGGTATTTCCTTTTGGAATTTGAAGTCTAAATATGATTTGCTGCTTGTGTTGCTAATATGATCGAGGTCTAGATTTTGTCTTGATAAGGGACTGATTTCAAATAGAGTTGGCAACTCATATAAAAGAAGAATGCAAAATTTTTGGAGAAGTGCTAGCAAAATATTTATGAACTTAAACTTTGGTCATAAATAATCTCAGGACTAAGGTCTCAATTCAGTGCGATGAAGATAAAAAATAAAAAATAAAAAAAATTAAGCAAAAACGTTTGTATTTGATGAAAATTTTTGTATTTGTTTAAATTTAAGAACATGCGTATAACTTGTGCAACTTATTTAAGTTGCTCTTCATGATGTGTTAGGAAGGATGGAGTCTTGCTGAACTTTTTCATGTCCGTTGTGTTGTTGCCGCTCCTTATGTTGTTCCATATAGGTAAGTAAAGGCTTTCTTTTTTCTTTTTTTTTTCCTTTTTCTTTACATAGAAAAATTCTTTGCACCTTTTGCCCAGCACATCTTTCTGGATTCTGTATGTCATCATTTCTGTTTTTCCAGATGACTGGTCTATCATATTTTAAAATCCTATTCATTCCTGCGAAATATTGTTGATCAAAATAAAATTACTTTGAAAGGTTAAACTTGTTTTTTATACTGAGAATATTAGAAGTTCTTATGTCAACAGCTAATGGTAAATGTTTCTATTTTTTAATGCTTCTGTTGAGAGAATAAGTATTCTTAATTTTTGAGAATGCCATAGAGACTGATTAGCACTTTGAGATTTGAAGCTTTGAACTCTCTGCCACCTTGTTTATCTTGCATGTGATGTTTCACTTTGTAATTTTTATTTATTAATTTTGTCTAGTGCACCTTCATCATTTGAGCGTCAGTTCAGAAAAGAGCTCCCACTATTGTATAAATATTTGCAAGAAGCTCCTGCTAACAAGGTAATTCACGATCTGAAGTGAATTGTGTAAAAGTTTTCATGATCTCAAGTTGAACTAAAAAAAGTTGTTCTACCAAGTCACATGATTTGTCTTTACATGTTGATGACGCCTTAACCCTGAAGGATCATTGACAAATAATTTAATTTCTGTTTTCATCTGTTTCTATTTTATCTCAAAATAAGTTTGAACTAATAATTCTACCTCAACTTTTCATCATCTTTCAAACATAGATTGGCTGGAAAGATGTGATTCATTGGATGTGGCCACTTTTTAATGACAATTGGGCATCATGGAGAAGTGAATGTTTGAATCTGAGTCTGTATCCTTTCACGGTTAGTGCTTTAAAAAGTAAATATTTTTTTTGTGTATGGTCAACTATATATTAGATTCCATATATTCAATTCAGTTTTGACTACCAAATCTAGATGACAGTTTGATGTTCTTCGCTAAGAGATTTGTTGGCATACTGAATTCAGGATCCTGTAACAGGTCTTCCCACTTGGCATGATAGGCCGCCATCTCCTCTTCTACTGTAAGTCATGCATTTTTTTCTTAGAAGGGCTACAGATTAAAGCTCTTATATTATATCATTGAATACAATTAAGTACAAGTAATTGGGTCACATTTCTCAATTAGCCAATCTTCCTGGTGGGCAGTTAATTAATGCTAGCTTACTCCTGAAACATTTTGTGTTTAAAGTTCCATGAAGAAGTTGCTCTAACCTCGACAGCCTGTCTCTGAAATGAAATTTAGGTCTTTAAGAGAGCTTCTTCTATTTGTTTGAATATGAGAAATGTAACTTAAAATTTTGGATGTGATTTGAAAATGGAGTATGCTGTAAACCACTTCAGTCTGATAAATGGCATGCTATTTGTTCATCAATAATTTAAGGGTTTGCATTTTTTAATAAAAAATAGAGATTGATATACAACTGTCTCTCTCTAATTATCTTTTACTTTTTTGTTAACAGGTATGGATTTAGCAAAGAAATCGTTGAATGCCCTGGTAGTTTTGTAATTCTTTTCGGTATCCCAGAACCTTGAGATTAGCAATGATCATAATGAATTTTTTTTGTTTTTTTTCAGCATATGTTCTGCCTATTTCATTCTTGTTTTACATCTGTAGATAGAGTTTCTTATGACTATTAGTTCATTTTTTCTTTGATTGTTTTTTACAATTTTGCTTTTCTGTTATCTCAATTTTGTGAAACAAGTATGAGGAGGCCTGTTATTAAAACTTATCCCTATCAAAGTTTCCTAAGTGGGTAAGTCTTTTACGTGGAAATTGTGACATCCATCTGGCCCTTTATAAAACATGGGACAAGGTTTTCATTGTTGAGAAATTCATATCTTGGTCGTCGTTTTTATGCTGCATAGCCTTCTAATGTTATCATTTATAACAGATTATTGGCCGTCGAGTGTTCAGGTTTGTGGCTTTTGGTTCCTCCCTACTGAATGGCAGTTCTCATGCAAAAAGTGTGGAGAAATTTTGGCAATATTTTCTTCAATGCATCTGAAGAAAGATAGCCTGTGTTTAGTTCATGCTGAGTTGCAATCTTTCATAAAAGCATCTTTGTCAGTGCTGCCTATTTTCATAGGGCTGAGTTCTGTTGGAAGGTAGGTTCCCAAGTATAAGCATTCTCTTTAACCATCTGTAAAAGGCGTGTTCACCTATATGTCCTAGGGCTTAGCTTGTCCATTGCTTGTGTCTATTTGGATGTCTCTTTTCTATTAAAATAAAAAAAAATTCTTGATGGATGATGCCTTTTTCAGTCTTCTCTTATTCCTTCTTGAACTGGGTATTATTATGCTTTTTCCAGCATGGGATTTATGAGGAATCCTAAAGCATTTCTACGAGTTCTCCAAACTGCTCTGCAGATTACATGTTACAGATTTATCCTCTTCACAGCTGGCTATGAACCATTAGATTCTGCAATCCAGGAAATGGCTACAGAAGTTGCTTCAATTTCAAAAGGAAAGTTAACTGAAAATGGGATCTCTCTCTTTGGCGGTCGTCTATTCTGCTTTTCTGGGTCTGTATTTTTTCATTAATTTTCTCTTGATAACTCTTAATTCTTATATGGCAATTGACATGTCTTCTTCCTTTTGGAAATTAGCATGATACCATACAAATGGCTATTTCCAAGATGTGCAGCAGCAATTCATCATGGTGGCAGGTAGGAGTCTTTTGGTGACAGTTCATTCCAATTAAATGATTGGAATATACTGATTCTAATTTGTTTTTTGCATTCTTAATCTTTTATGGAAAATCAGTGGATCTACTGCTGCAGCACTACATGCAGGAATCCCCCAGGTTTGTTATCTGCTGCAACCTTTTCAACTTTTTATTCATTGCTGCAGATCTGAAGTGCTGTATTAGTTCATTTTGCATTAAGACTAGTAAGTTATTACTTGGAATCCTAGTCATGCTGAAATGGAGGGGTTCTATCAATTGAAAAGGAAAGATCCACAGGATTCTTAGCAAAAGTGTACCCTGAGCATTTTTGCCTATGTATGTAACCATGAACGGAAAGAAACAAGAAAGAAAGTAATGAAAGAGTCCTCAGCCTATACCAAAAAAAAAGGGTCCCAAGCAAGATGTGGAAAAGAAGTCTTAAGTTTTTTTTTTTTTGGCTTTTGTTTTATGCTTTCTTCCCCTCAAAAGATATAGCTTACATTTAGTTAGCAATATCAAATGGCAGATACTATGTCCATTTATGTTGGATCAATTCTATTGGGCTGAGAAGATGTTCTGGCTTGGAGTAGCTCCAGAACCACTGAGAAGGAACCACCTGCTTCCAGACAAAATTACTGAGGCAGGAATCCGGTTAGCCGCCAATGTGTTGTCCCAAGCAATACAAAGTGCATTATCACCTGAAGTTAAAGCACAAGCGCTAGAAATTTCTAAGAAGATTTCCCTTGAGGTAGGCCTGTTACTGCTGCTTTTTTCTTGTCCCATCTTCTAATAAATAGGTGAGGGTAGTTAGTCCTTCCAACCATAACTATTGATTAAACTTATTGGGCCTTGTTACCATTGTATTTCCATAGGTAGTTTTTGAGGTTTAATATTTCTTTTCTTTTCTTTCGACTCGTTGAATAAATTTGTTCCTCTGAGACATAGTTTTGAGGTAGTTTTGTTTGTTCAATGAGCATGTTGAGCTGGAATTACTGCCATTCTCACACCGACCGCAATTTGTGCTTTACAGAATGGAGTTCTGGAAGCCGTGAAGATCCTGAAAAAAGAGATGGGTTGTTCAAATTAAGTTCATACGAAGAGATGGTTAATTCCACAAAATACAAAAAAAGGTGAAGTTGAAAGGAAAAAGAAGACACATTATTCTATTAATTAAATGCAAAGAAGCTGAAAGTGGATTATATCCCTTTGTAGAAAATCTGGTCAAAATTTGTGGACTGGTTCAAAAGTTGCTGACACTTTGGGGTGGTGGGTTGTTGAAAAGAAAACTGCACTGTACGTACCCACCCCACTACGCCATAATCACTCTGCCTCGTCAAAAGGAGCTGTGTTGGCGGCATTTGGTGATGCTTATCTGATCAAAAGTTTGTCCAAGAGATTTAGATGAAAAAAATTTCTTCACAGTACAAGTATGGTTATCTTATTTTAATGGGGCAATGCAAGCAGAGTCAACGGCATGTCATGTTCTTCTGATAGACTTCCAAGCCTTTCTTAATTATGCAACCGTCCAAGCCCATATTTGTTCATCACTTCGAACTTCAAACTAAAATAATTATTCTCAGAAAAACCCCATTTCTTCCTCTTTACTTCTTCAGAAATATGGGTCCCACAGCCCACTCCAGTCCCAAATCCCAAATCCCAACTAACCTCAATAAAAGGAGGCCAACCACCCATCTAGTCTCACACAACCTCACATTTGTGTACTCTGTTGTCTAGGGTTCTGCAGAGATGGCTCTTCAGGGAAGAGGCAATGCAATGATGGCCACAGTGCTTTTATGTGTTCTTCTTCTCCACTTTGACATGGCTCAGGCAGCAACCTACACTGTTGGAGGATCTGGTGGCTGGAGCTTCAATGTTGGTGGCTGGACTAAAGGAAAGCGCTTCAAGGCTGGTGACATACTCAGTAAGAACCGTTTCATCCAAAAGCTTTAGTTGTTACTGTACTGACACAACAATATGCCATTTGGTTTAGAAGTCCCAATGTTTTCATTATGTACAAGTTCTATTGAGAAGTTTCAGCAGTCAAGTGATGTTTAGGAAATCTCGTTACCTATTTTTTGAACTGAACATTATTGTATTAATGTTGTTTCGTAGTATTCAACTACAGCCCTTCAATACATGACGTGGTAGCTGTTAGCAAGGCAGGATACGACACATGCACAACGCCAAAAGGTGCCAAAGTGTACAAGTCAGGGAAGGATCAGATCAAGTTGGTGAAGGGCAAGAACTACTTCATCTGCAGCTTTTCCGGCCACTGTCAAGGCGGAATGAAAGTAGCAATCACTGCTGTTTGATGTGTGACAGGGCCATATGCAATGTTGCCTAAGTGTTAAGTGTTAGATTTGGAGGGTACTGCCTGTTTGTTAGCTTTGCTTTGTATGAACAGACAGCTTGTGGCCCTCTAGAATAAGAGGAAGAACCTTAGGTAAAGTGATTAATGTCTGTGTCGGTTTGTTTGTTTGTTTGTTTGTTTGTTTGTTTCTCTTTTTCGTTAGGTCTGTGCTACTACTTGAATAAAAACAGCTTTTTTAATATTAATTTTTTAATATCTGATAAGAATTCTCTATGTTTCTATCAACTAGTCGTTTATTAAAAACAATCAGTTATATAATGATATTATTGTAATTATAAATTTATAATATTTTATTAATATTATAATTATAATATTTTTAATAATAAAATAATATTCTTAGAGAAATTTGAGCAAGCATACATTTGTGCCGACAATCTAAAGTACTTTACAGTGTTGCTGTTACTCTATGAGTGCTCTTCTAGGAGTATCTAAAATTTATCAAGTTCGTATCTTATATTAAAAATTTTAAATATCAATTAATCATTAATCATGAAACTTGATTTGTAGGGTCAAGTGGCATTCATTGTTCTAAAACATCATTTTTTTTCTTGGGGCAACGGTTCAATTTTTCTTGAACAACGGTTCAATCCAGTCATTACAATTGCTAAAAAAAAAAACTAATCATTAATCATGATTCACTAGCATGCAATATTCTTTTTTTTAAAAAAAAATATAATGATGAGCTATGCACCATGTCATTGCTCTTCTCTCTGGCACTCTCTCTCCCATCTTTTTTTAAATTATAAATTACAAAAAAAATAAAAATAAAAATCAATGAGCTTGAAATATCTTTTGTTTTTCCCTTTTTTGAAATAAACAAACTTGAATGAATCAACACAACTACAACTAAGGAAATTGGTTTCGGATATTTCAAATAGTTAAAATTTTAAAATTTTAAATTAAAAATTTTGAATTTAAATTTTAAAATGAATGAGAAAAAATTTATTAAATAAAAAATTATTTTTTATTATATTATTTATAATATGATATACAGACAAAAACTACAAAGGAAATTAGATATCATGTACACTTGCATCAAATTTATGGGTAAGTTAGAAAATACATAACAGAAAGCTAAAACCACTATAAGGGAAAATTCACTGATTAAAAAAATTGATTAATTTGGAAGTTGACATTTTAAAAAGTAATCCAGATAGCCACTTCTAATAACATTTTAAGGTCTTAGAAAAACAAATTTTTTTTTATAACTCATAATCATAATATATTAATAAATGATTGATTTTTTCACTTAAGAATCTATATTTAATATTATATATAAGAAGTCATACATATCATTTTGGACTCTAAAAAAATTGAAATCCCAACCTATTTTTACAAACTAAAATTTTAATTTAAAATTCAAAAATTTAATTAATTTTCAAATCTAAATATCAATATTTAATAAAATAGATTTTTAATTTTAAATTAAATTTTAATTAAATAAAACGACATAATTTAATATTAGAATTCTAATTTTTTTAAAAGTTAGAATTGATATATATTTTTTCCTATATATAATTACTAATTTAATGACAAGTTATATTATAATTATAAATTTTTAATATTACATAATATTATAATTATATTATTGTCAATATATCCAAGTATAGATGTTAAGATGCATTTAGTAAGATATCCAAATGGTATCTTTCATTAATTAAAATATATTTTAATTAATGATTTCTTACTATTTTTTTTATACTCCATGCTGAAAAATGCATTTATGATCCTTTATTTTATTTTGAGCTTAATTTTATGGAAAAACTATTTTATGATTTAGTGTTGTACCTATGATTTTGATGATTACAAAACACATTTGAGTGACTAATTGGTTCATTTAAGTGTGTAGTTAAAATTGCAAAATAAGTAAACCTGGACTGCACTTAATAATGGACCAGAAAGGCTTGAACATCTGCAGAGAGCCGGTTCTTGAAAGTTGCAGCCGACTCTGGTGAAATGCAGAGAGCCAGCTCTACGGGGAAAGCTTTTAAAAGTCCGTTGCTTGGCGCGCGTGGAGAAAAGACGCAGAGCCGGCTCTAACTTTGTAGCCGGCTATGAGGACACATTTAATGCACAACGGTCGACTTATTTGAAGAATATTAAATGTATTTAAAGTCGGAGTTGCAAAGCCGGCTTAAAGTTTTGCAGCCGGCTCTCGAGAAAAACAGAATGTGCTGCAGACCCGGATAGCCAGCTCTGGAAATGTAAGCCGGCTCTGCAGAGCCGGTTCTAATATGTTAAGCCAGCTCTCCTGACAATTCTGCAGCTCGAGCTTTGTATCCTGCAGAGCATTTAATGACACCCAACGGCTAGTAACGGCTATTTTCGAGCAAGGGGCTATAAATATGGTTGGTAACAGATGTGAAGAAGTTTAGAGAGTATTGTATTGAATATCTTTACCTACCTACATGAGCTTTAACTTGAGTTTTTGATCTTTGAGAGATCTTTACTTGTAATCCCCTTCTTGTGCTATTAGTGAGTGATCTTGGGGATGTGTTGATTCCTTCAAGAGTGATCTGAAGAGAGGATCTTTGGGGTTAAAGTGTAAAGGGGTGAGATTTGAGAGAAACCCTTCTTCTTGTAAAGGGGTGAGATTTGAGAGAAACCCTTCTTCTTGTAAAGGATTGAGTGGCTCCTTTAAGCCACCATTGTTTTTGCTAGTGGAGAGTGTGAAGGAAATCCTTGGTGAGTGAAGCCAAGGTAGAGGACTAGGTTCAAAGTGGTTGGACCGAACCTCTATAAAATCATTGTGCAATCTCTTCTTCTCAACTCTCTCTTTAATTTTTGTTTGGTGGTTGCAAAGAGGCGAAAATTCTCCAACTCCAATTCACCCCTCCTCTTGGAGTGCATTGAGTCAACATTTAGATTATATCAAATTATAAAATAATGACTTTTGGATTGGGGTAAGCTCCTTGATATTGAACTTTTTTTCCCCATCCAAAGGTTTTGATTTTATAGTCTATTATTTTTTTTGGTACATCAGAAGCTACTATTTCCGCTTATTGCCTAAGGAACAAGGTCCCAACATAATCACTTTGTAATATCATATGAATACCTCTCGGGGGCTCAGTGAAGAGAGTAGTGCCCAAAGCTAAATCATGACCCATGGCTGCCATAAAGTCTGCAGCCGAATTCCCTTCCCTGAGGGTATGTTGTACCAAG